GGGCCGACACACCTAACACCGGCACACCGAGCCAAATTAAAGAAATTTGGCTAACCGAAATCCAACCTTCCGAGAGTCGACTCAGCGAGGACGAAATAGCCAACCATCCCCGTTCGAAATGCCGGCATCCCAACAACCGGCATTTCTAAGGCCAACAAAACCGCAGCCAACCGTCCCACCCACTTAGAGCCACCGTAAAACCAACTGCACTAGCCCCCGACGCCTGGTCCGTCCACCTGGGTGGGTGTAATGGAAGAACCAAACGCCGGAAGGGAAGGAGCTAGAGCAGGGCCGACACACCTAACACCGGCACACCGAAAACCGACCTCGGAGTGTCAGCCCCACAAGGACATCCCAATCATCCTCGCTTGAAATGCCGGCATCCCAACAACCAGCATTTCGGGGGCCAACAAACCGATGCCCAACACCGATTCCCACCGCCAACTCGAACTGCATTAGCTCTGACGTCCGTTCTTGTTGCTAGTGGGTGGGACACTAGCCGAACGAGGCGCCAAGGGAGGGTGTGAGCTAACGCAGGGCCTAGCAAGGGCAAAAACCAGGCCTTTTAAAACCGACCGAAAAATCCTTCAGGGACCATACCCCCCCTATATATGCTTAAAAAACATAAACCCAAGTTACAGCAGTAGATACGATTTTGCTGTAGAGTCACACTCACCAAAAAGGCCCCAAATTCTAACACCAAGCCAATTCCTCGTCACAGCCCGTAACCAAACATCATTCTTAGATCATAATGATATGCAAAACACACTAACAAACATTTGGGGCGACGAAAAAGCAATAGCCAAAACGGCAAAAAAAGTGGTTCTCCGAAAGCCCACACTTCAAAAACCACATGTGAAAAACAAAATTCATGCCACCCACAATTTGATTTCCAGCTACAAAAGATATATGAACTATTTTTAATGGCCTTTTGCTTTGCAAACGCCGAAAAAACAAACGGAAAAGAGCAAGAGCCAAGCCTTTTTTTAGCCGACCAGAAAAACCTTCACTGACCATGCCCCCCCGCTACATGATGCAACGATAGCCGGCATTCCCCGAGCGAGCATGTGAAAACATGATCATGCCCCCCGATGTCACAAGGGTGCGCATGAGGTAACACACGGCCTAGCAAGGGCAAAAACCAGGCCTTTTAAACCGGCCAAAAAAACCTTCACGGAACATACCCCCCTATATATGCTTAAAAAACATAAACCCAAGTTACAGCAGCAGATACAATTTTGCTGTAGAGTCGCACTCACAAAACGGGCCCCAAACTCAAACACGAAGCCAAATCTTCGTCACGGCCCATAGCGAAACATCATTCTTGGATCATACAAATTTGCAAAACACACTAGCAAACTTTTGGGGAAGTAGCCCCTTGGGGTGTCCAATTTTTGGGCATAACTTTTGCTAGGAGTGTCCGTTTTCAACGTGCGACCACTTTCCGGAAAGGAGCCCATCGGACTTCAGTTATCACCTCAAATTCGCTTGTTTAGGCCGCCATTTTGCAGTTTTATTGTTTCCGAGCCTATGGCCTGCTTTTTGTTCAGCCCATTCACTCCTCATTCCTAGGCCGGCTTGTGGGGTTGTTTCATCCGCACTTTACTTTTCATATTACATCATAACCCTAGCGTGGAGTTTTCCCCTAGCTATTATTCTCTTTCCCTCTTATTCGTTGTTCTCTTCATTCTGTCCGTACATGGCTTAACCTTTGAGACAAGCATATGACTACTGGCAGGATCAACCAGGTATCATTCCTCAATGCACCTTGACATGCCAAAACCGAAAGCGAACTCAACACATCATAGGCGGTCATACAGAGGGAAACACAATCACAGAAGTGAAGGTGAAGCCAATAATGAACCAGGGATCCCTAGGACAAAATACTTAATGGGCAGAGTTAGGCTAACAGAGAATTCTTAACCAGTGCCCGTTAGTGTACCCAACCCGAGTACTCAACAACAACCAATGGGCCAAAACTTTCCGGAAAAGAGACAACAGATAGTGTACCACAAGCGGTGCCATGGCGTCAATCGAATGCCAACCCTTTGGTTCCCACACGAGCAGGCACACGACAGAACTCAGCAGTTGGAACGTAAGGATGCCACCGAAAGGGTACAGAACAAAGGAAACCATTGCAGACAAAGGCGGAACCCACCAAATTGAAAAGGCTTTCACGGCAAGTTTTCGCTGCTACAGCAAGGATCAAACCTGACCATGAAAACCAAATACATCTCACACACAATTACGCATCGCAAACTTCATACACACCGCACAACCCACCAACAGACCAAAGGCCAAGTTTTTAACTCAGCAGTCAGCCCACCAGCGAATGCCTGGTGCCCATGACAGTCGCGTCGATGAGTGCCATGCAACACCGAAGAAAACCGTAGCCAACCGTCCCACCCACTTAGAGCCAACCTAAAACCGACTGCATTAGCCCCCGACGCCTTGTCCTTCCACCTGGGTGGGTGCAATGGAAGAACCAAACGCCGAATGGGAAGGAACTAAAGCAGGGCCAACACACCTAACATCGGCACACCGAGCCAAATTAACAAAATTTGGCTAACCGAAATCCAACCATCCGTGAGTCGACTCGGCGAGGACGAACTGGCCAACCATCCCCGTTCGAAATGCAGGCATCCCAACAACCGGCATTTCAAACGCCACCAAAAACCGTAGCCAACCATCGCACCCACTTATAGCCACCATTAAACCGACTGCATTAGCCCCCGACGCCTGGTCCTTCCACCTGGGTGGGTGGAACGGAAGAACCAAACACCGGAAGACAAGGAGCTAGTGCAGGGCCGACACACCTAACACCGGCAAAGCCAAATCAGAGAAATTTGGCTAACCGAAATCCAACCTTCCGAGAGTCGACTCAGC